TTAATTTAGTTAATTCCAATGATTTGAACTTAATTCGGCTGAAAAAAATGGTATTCGCAATCGGAATGCAATTGCAACCAGAGTCGATTTAAGAAACCCGACAGCTAGTACGATGAAGAAATTGAAATGTATGTTAAAGAAAGTCAGAACAACAAGAAATATACATGTATATCCTGTTTTTGGCCATCCGAAAGAATTTTAAAAATTCTATAAAAATTTTTTATGTTTGAAATGCAACCGTGGACGCCAGCTGGCAGCGAAACTTGCAAATTCCTGCAAATTTGCGTTCGTGCAGAAATTTGCAAGTTTCTCAACATGAGAGAGAATTTTTTCTTACTCTCTGATATTTTGAGTGTTGGATAATTCTTGCTGGATTTTCGACGAACAAACCTATAGTAATAGCGAAGGTCTCATATCAAAATCATTATTTTGATAATTTCGGAAGATATTTTCATTTAAAGTTTGTGACCATTTACAAATGAAAATGCGTAATAATTATAAAAATTTAAGAGATATTACCAAAAAGTTACCAAAAATATTATATATATGGAAACTTTGTGAAAGGTGGTGAAGGGGCTTATTTAGTTTAAACTTTCTTGCGTGGGTGTGACTGAGAGATAATTAACGAAATTTTAAAAACCTAATCTTCATTAATGCCACTTGTACTCGTTTAATTCATTCAATGTCGAAATAAAGTTTTCTAAAGCAGTTTTCTCTTGATAACAGATCCCTCCATTTGTGTGATACCATCTAAACGCACAAATTGTACCAAACTCTTAACAAAAATATGAAAACCAAGTATTTATATTTTTTACTTATTCGAAACAGAAAAATTAAATTGGAATCTCTTTTGAGACATATGTATGTAGATAGATAATTATGCTATGCCCCTGTATGATTTTTCACGGCATGTCGGTTAATTAATTTTTAGCTCACAATTTCGCATGCAAGTACATAACTAATAATAGATTGGCGCTTACACAATATGTTAGTGTTTGGGCGCGCTTCCCCTTTGTGCGATTGTATTTTTTGAGAGAAACTGTTTTTCATGGCAAAATCCACTCGGAGGTTTGCAATTGCCTGCCGAGGGGCGACCACCATTATAAAAAAACTTTTTATTTTTATATAACCGAGCACTTTTTCATTTGTTTTTTAGTTCCGAAAAATTCGAGAATCGTCATTTGATTTTTCCTCAATTGATGCATTTGCTCCAGAAAATCCATACAATGTTAAAGGGACGCCTCTTGAAAATAACTCTATATAAAATTATGAGTAATACTACAACAAAAACTCCAAAAACATTTCAAACTTTGTGTATATTTTCATTAAAATTTTGTATGAAGAAAATGAGCAAAACCTTCAGCAAAAAAAAAAAAAATAAAAATCAACGGTAAGTCTCAGCAATTTTAAAATAGCGCTTAATTTTGAAGTAAAACATAAAAATTTATCATTTGGATTAGAAAAAAAAAAATCAAAAATGTTTACCTTTTTCCTTAATAAGATTTTATGAAGCTTCTGTGGAATGCTCATATCGTTGTCTTGATATACCTCCATACATAGAAAATCATTCTCACACTTTTTTTTTTCATATGCATTTACAAATTGTAAGCTATCGATAGCTTTTGGACAATTTTGGATGTTGTAACCATTATGAACCATATTGTTTTAACTAGTAATTTTCAATTCTCACATAAAAATTTATGAGTACCGATAAATTCTTTATGATTCAATGACGGGCTCCAAATCAATTTATTCATAAAAAAAATATTCCGGTTAAAAATTAAAAACAAGAAACGTTTGTAATTTCAGTGTTGGTCAGCTGGCACTGCTATTTTTTCATTATAAATTTATATAAATGCGTTATTTGAAAAAATATTTGAATCGATCTTGGGAGAATTGGAAATATTACGATTTCTTTCTGGATCGATTATTTTCATATCGATTCCAATCAATCCGAAAATCGATTTTTTTATTTCGATCTGGTATCTTTAGTATAATAATATGCTGGTTTGAAGTGTTTTTGATCATTTTATTTCCGATGGTAGTGCATTTTCTTGCATATAAAAAATGTTTTCGTTTGGAAAAAAGGCCTGACTCCGTTAGCAAATAAATTGATGAAAAACCAACGGGATTATTTATTTAATAACTTTAAACTAGCACATTATTATACTAATGGAATGAGCTAGGTAACTGCATACCAAAAAATTTTCTAAAAATTCGATTAAAAAAATTTGGAAATTTCGCTGAAAATTCTGAGCATTTTTCCAAATTTTACACAGTTTTAATTTATACTTAAATGGTTTCCATTAAAGAATTGACTATATATTTTTTAGATAAATTTTTTTATATAAAACACTATGAATATTGATAAAAAAATCTCACCCGTTTTCGAGTGGGTGCATTTACACCGTAGAAAACAGGAACACGTAATAATGCCTTACCAGAAACTTACACTCCACACGGCGGTCCTTCGTTACCACTACCCTGCCGAGTCTCAGATATAACTACTTTGCCGCTTTACCAACTAAGGTACGTGGAATGGAGAGCTCGGAGTAGTTCAGAGCTTTCATAAACCGTCATAAGCCGATAGTAGAAATGATTAACTTTAGACAAAGCTTTACTTTTAATCCAACCTGTAAATATAAAGTGAGCTTTAAACTTAAGCGTTACTTCAGAAAGCGGCCGTTAATAGACAACATTGGTCATGATGTTAATTTTGGTAGTAAAAGCTGAAAGGAAACTTGTATTATCTCGTTAGGTGCTTACAAATTTTCCCAGTGGGAAATATTTAATTTAGGCAGCACAACGTCTGGCGGCTCTCCTAGTCAAAAGGTGGGCTGTAGATAACAAACAAGCAAATACATACAGTGCCGGACAAAAGTATTGGCACAGAGAATTTTTCGCAATATATGCAAAGTTTTTATTCTAATTTATTTTTAATATTTTTTAATAAAAATATAGTTCGCACTTCACCAAAAAACATAAAAACAAAATCTCTAAACTTTGTGCAAAACTCAGGAAAATTCAATAAATTTGCATACTAATTTGCAACTTTTTATACAGATTTTTTAGAGAAATTCTAAGTATGTAGTTTTATAGCCCAACTAATTTTAGTATAACAAAGTGCAAGTTTGAAGTATCTAAAAAATTGCGTTGATTTTTGGACATTTTTTAGTAGAAGGTGTTGCTCATTTTCTCCATACAAAAAATAATTGTCGAAAATACTTTGTACGGAAGAACCTGACTGAAAAAAAGTACCAAAAATCAATGCGATTTTTTAGCACCTTCAAGCTTGCACTTTGTTATACTAAAATTATTTGAGCTATAAAACTGCATACTTAGAATTTTTCTAAAAAATCTAAATAGAAAGTTGCAAATAAGTATGCAAATTTAATGAATTTTCCTGAGTTTTGCACAAACTTTAGAGATTTAGTTTTTATGTTTTTTGGTGTAGGACGAATAATATATTTTTAATAAATTATCGAAAATAAATTAGAATAAAAAACTTTTCAGATATTGCGAAAAATTCTCTGTGCCAATACTTTTGTCCGGCACTGTACATATGTATGTACATACGTACACATATCGTCGTACATCTTAACCTTCCGTCGGTTTATTGCACCTCGCGGATAGGCTACGTCTTAATATAAATAATTTAGTACAGACTTTTAAATAGTGATTAGAAATAAAAATAATAATAATCGCTTTATAAAAATACATAAAATAAAAATAATAGACATTTCAAACGAATAGGCTTAAAAATCTTTTGTTGATAACTGAATATATTGACATACCGAGGCCATTCATATGCAAGATCGATCGAGAAGAGAACCGCCTTTGGGTACATGCACATGTCGGATTCTGCACTCGTTTGTACATACATATGCTTGCATATACATATATGCACAGAAGAAATGACGTCCAGCGCAATGGCAACAGAACCAATACCACCTGTCTTATCAACAATTGGCCTTTCTCACACTTCGAAGTTTCAAATTTCGATTATCTATGTACGTATGTACTATATCACTGCCAGCTAAGCATCCGATGCAGCATTTTTTTGCAGCTATATAAGGCAATGGCCACGCAGGATGAAAGCATAGTTCAGCGCAAAGCAGCGTATTCCAAACAAGTCAAAGTATTTGTGTAATTTTATTCTTATTTTCAATTAAATTAAACTCACATTTTAAAGTAAAAAATGTTCAACTTAAACGGTAAAAATGTTGTCTACATTGGTGGATTCAGCGGCGTCGGTTACCAAGTTTGCCGCTTGCTGATGAAGAAGAACATCAGCGTAAGTTGTAGAGTAAATAGGATAAAATTGATGGTTTTTAAATTAAAGTCCTTACGCAGTACCTAATTATGATGGGCCGCATGGAGAATATGGAGATGATGAGGAAATTGCAAGCCGAAAACAGTGCCGTCGAGGTCAAGTTCATCCCCATGGACCTGATGGATCGCTCCAGCATGCAGCAGGCTATTAAGCAAATGATGGGCGTTATTAAGCAAATCGATGTTTTGATTAACGGTGCTGGTGCGTTGGCCGACAAGGACATGGAGACCACGATGGGTGTTAATTTGGTAAGGAAAAAAGGCAATTTTATTTAGATTTTTTTTTTACAAATACTAAATTTTTGTTTTCATTAAAACTCAATTTCAGACGGGCATGATGCAAATGGTGATGTTAAGTATGCCCTATATGGATAAATCACAAATGGGCAACGGTGGTATTGTGATGAACATCGCCTCCGTCTATGGATTGGAACCTGCACCTGCCTTCCCAGTATATGCCGCTGCCAAGCATGGCGTCATTGGTTTTACGCGCTCAATGGCTGTGAGTATTTAATTTTACTAACATTTTAAATTAAATTATTTCAATCACACTGAATTTATCTACTCATCCTTCGCAGGATCCACTTCACTACCAACACACTGGTGTGGCCTTTATGGTCGTTTGTCCTGGTCTCACCACCAGTGAAATGATGATGAATTTACGTGAGAAATCAATGATGGGTCAACAGTCATACGTTGGTGAGATGATCGAAGCGATGAACCAGGCTAAACACCAATCGCCCGAAGAGTGTGCGATGAATATGGTCAAAGCGATGGAGATGATGAAGAATGGTGCTGTTTATTTGTGCAACATGGGTCAATTGAAGGAGGTGATGCCAACCAACTACTGGCAAATGTAAATTTGTACTGTAGAAAAAAGTTGGACACTGCAAGCAAAAAATAAAATAAAAAAAATTAAATAAAAAAATGGTAGCAAATAAAATTTTTTGGAAATCAGTTAAATACTTTATGCAAAGCAAAAATATGTTTTCATTGCAATAGGGTTTTTCGATTTGAGCAGGAACTATGTATGACGGTTATCATACATGTGTTGTTGAGTTTTACCTTAACCTTCCGTTTTTTTGTGTTTTAAATGCAACAGTATCAAGGTAGGTTTGTGCTTCGGGGTTGGCTTCTAACTAGTAAGGTTTGTTTATTAGAAGGTGGGCCGAAAATCGAGCGTTGAATTTCGCAGCTTTTTTAACTTTGATACGAGTAGAGATACAATTGGTTTCAGTGAGTAAAATTTTTTAAGAAAGTAAGAGGGTTTTAGTTGGAAAATATTTCGAAAATTTTGCAAAAAAAAAAAAGTGAAAATTTCCCAATATTTAGGCCAAGCCTAAGTAATTTAGAGATGCAAAATATTACCTCAACTCCCCTCACCTCACTTAAACTCACAGTCCTGAAAATCGAGGAGTGGTTCCAAAGACCCGAAATAGTTACTAAAATCCCAAAAATCGAGAAATAGTCCCAAAGGCCAAAAAGATGTAGCGCTGCAAATACGAGTTAGTCTTAAAATTCACGAAATGGTGCCCAATATTCCGCTATAGTCCCGAAAATCCCAAGTTAGTCCACCGGTGGAGAGACCTCACATTCGGGCACGCGAAAGTTCTAGAAACTCTGTCGAAAAATCTACAACAATTAGATTATACCACTCATCTACACTGTTGAGACAACGAATTTTTCACAATTAACCCAGTGATGAACGAATGGAAAGTTACCAAAGACCGAGACCCAAGGTCAACGGCTATACTTATATACAGATGGTTCCAAGCTAAACAAAAGAGTGTGCAGTGGAATTCACTCTGAACTCGCACTAATCCTCAGTTTCCACTAACCTAAGCGCCATAATGAAGGCCGCTCGGTTGCTCATAACCTCTAACCCTTCAGAACAGCTTATCACTATATATTCTGACAGCTAAGATGCTATTAAATCTTAAAAATCGAGAAACTGGTGCGACGAGGAACGTCACGCTACTGTAAAGAAAAAGTATTCGGGCGCAACGCGAGCTACAGGGAGCTAAAGACGTAAGTGAGACTTGAACGCTGTATATTAGGACCGAATGGAAAAACGCTTGAAAATTATACTAGAAAGTGTGGCGACTTACGGAACGTTTGAATACCAGGAGGAACTCCTGTAAGGACAAGGATCTAAGGATCTAGTGATTGAGGTCCAAAACATACATCAATTAAGTGCTCCTAGCACTGAAAGCAGTTAAGAAGATGAACCCGAACCCCAGTCGAAGGTGACGGAATCTAGGTCCCAAGCCTACCATTGACGAATTGATTGGGCCTTATCAGTGGGACTTTAGAACTGTTAAATTCACCATAGACCTGATATTCACCATACCTCAAATCTTAAATACAAAGACTCGCGAAAAGAGGATTAACACACACTATCTAAACGAAAAAAATTTCCCTCTATGCAGCGATATCTGAATTTGATATCCCTTCGAACCTATCACGGCTATGAAAATGATGTGGAGCATTACCATCAACTATGCCAGAATTGAAAATGATGAACAAAGATAGTTAAAAAATTAGAAAGTACTGTGGATGTGACTAAAATCTCTTCAGCTGCACATCGTCAATCTATACCAGGCCCCCAAATATTATGCTGTTGCGGTAAATATAGAAGCATAGGAGTGCGCGAGTAAAAGGTCTAAGATAGTACGTGGGGAACACATCGGTTCATTTTGCACAGTGCTCGATGGTAGAAAATGAAAATACGCCTTCCCACGGAAGCGCAATCGTAACAAGAATACAATTTTTTCTAGTATATACATTTGTATATATATCACTCCAAAGAATGCGATTCAGATTCCGAAGATTTTGCGAGTTTCGCCAGAGTTTCAATGAAATAGTTGTTTGGACGTGATGAAACATCGGAACGATTTTAAGGACATGTAGAGATAGGTGATATTATACATATTCCTCCTCGATGGTGCAACGAAAAAGCGACAAAATGAGAGAGACAATTCTGTAGAACAAAAAGGACAAATAGGTATTGAAAATGCGCTTTTAATAAATTTTATCTTTTTAAGTTAATAAAGTTTGTATTGTAAATTTTCAAGGATATTTAAGGACAAAATTTGTAAAGGACATTTTTCATACCCATTCTTCCTTATGCACCAAAATATGTATTCTTTAATAATTCTACAGAATTTTTTCTTTTATATGATACCCTTATCTGTTATCCTACATTGCACCGAATTTTTTAAATAATTTTTTGGAAATAATCATATTTTTTAAATTTCAAAGTCCTTTAATAAAAATCCTCACGTCAAAGAGGAAAACTAAATACGCAGTTTTACTATAATTTAACCACAGTTTCGGGAATATATTCATTTTTGTGTGTGTAAAATCTACTGTCGCACTGTGTAACAGGAAGCAGAAATTCCACTTCAGTCGCGCATAGGATTCATACACAACTTTTTTTTTTGATTATTCGGCTACTGATATCAGACTGGAATTCAGTGCCCAAATTAAGAGTTACGACCTTAATAAAGAATTTATGGATTTTGAAAATAAATTTTGCTCTTAAGACGCATAAAGAAAAATTCTTAAAAAATTTAACTAGGTGGCGTTGCAAAGTATGCTGGATGTTGTTGTTGTTGTTGTAGCAGCATACAAATTCCCCAAAGACTTTTTGGGGAGTGTTGCTGGAGTGACAGTCCTTGGCCAGATATAAATCTGGGTCGTTCCGGTTACGTAGACCCGACTGTCGTGGGAACGTATGCTGGATGTTCGCCAGCTTTGCTATAAAAGTAGACTGAATTTATTTTTGACATTATCATAATATTTCTACAATTTATATGTATGTATGAATGATATTCTAGGTATCAACATTAGTATAAATCTTAATTATAGGAAGAGAGAGCATTTATTTTGGATTTTGTAAATTTAAAATTTTTTTAAATCATCCACATCATAGTAAATACATATGTAAATATATACATATGTACTCTACACGTTTTCATATTATTATCCGTTATCACTGTCGTTGCTTTTTATATGTAGAACTATTTTCATGGCAACAACTCAATCTTTTTGTATGCTAGATATATTGAAAGATTTTCAAAAGGCACTTTTTCATGAGATCAACTGCAACTGTAAATAATTTGCTGATGCTAAGATTCACTTTGCTTTGGCTTATAGCATAGACAGACGGCGGTATTGCGGTTTAAGTGAGCCGAGAGCTCGTGGGTGCAAATCTCGCGGCCAATAAATTTTTTTTTAAGTTTTTACATATTATTACATGTAGTTCCTGTGAACTTTTTAATAAAAATTTTTAACTCTAAGAAATTATATTAAAGAAACTTGTAATAATAATATGAAATAAAAAAAAAAAAACTAAAATAAAATATGTAAAAAAAAAATTCTAATTTTAAAACTTAATTAATTTAAAATTGGCCGGAACGAGTATTGAATCCGGGCCCTACCTGAATTGTAGTACGCAGTTTTCACCACTCGGCTATCGTGGATGCCAAACCCATTCGCTTTGTTTGTTTACTTGTTAGCTTCGTTTATTTTTCATTCACAATAGAAAACAGCCGGCCGTTTTGATCAGTGTTGTTATCGAAAATGCGCCTGATACGCATTAATTTTGAGAATTATCTCTGGCACTTAATATGGAACAACTACAGTTAATTCCCGACATAATTACGTATAAATGAATTGATCCGGATTAACGCTGCCGTCTGTCTATGCTTTTAGAATCAGTACAAAAAATGCTGCTTAATAAAATTAGGATATTATTTCGATAAATTACATTGTGGAACAATTTTCATGTTTTTTAGTGTATCAACGAAATAATGTCTAAATGATAGTGACGTAGTCAGTCCCTAGGAGGAGATTTCTCTAATTCCTTTAGGTCCTGACTGGTTATTGCCCAGTAAAAAATTGCGCAAGTTTTCGAGGATGTTTCAGAATGTAAGTTCCGAGTGTAAAAAATAGCAAGATGCAGCGAAAATGTGACATTACTTGGGAAATCGTACCAGTGTGATTAATTGAGTATATAGACGTTTTTTTATAAATATTCCAAATTGTACGCCGCACATAGGGACGAATAGACAATATCGGACGACAAAAATGTTTACTCCATATGTATTTGACAGATTTCAATGAAAATGGTAATTAGGGATTTTCGTCGTCACTGAATTCGATAATTAAACTAAATTTCCAAAATTCACATTGGCGGAACCAATATGGCAGACGATTTATTAGAAAATTTCTATATTGTTATGAAGCTTGGTATCCAGAGATTTTCGTCGTCACTGATTTCGAAATTCATATTCAATTTCAAAAATCAAAATGGCGGACCCAATATGGCGGACGATTTCTTCAAAAATGTTTAAATTTTTATGAAGCTTGGTATTTACTCCATATTTATTTGACAGATTTCAATGAAATTGAAATTAGGGATTTTCGTCGTCACTGAATTCGAATATTCAAAATGGCGGATCCAATATGGTGGACGATTTCCTCAAAAATGTATAGATTGTTATGAAGCTTGGTATCCACAGCTTTTCGGCGTCACTGATTTCGAAATTGATATCTAATTTAAAAAAATCAATACGGCGGATCAGATATGGCGGACGATTTCCTCAAAAATGTATAGATTGTTTTGAAGCTTGGTATCCAGAGATTTTCATCGTCATCGATTTCGAAGTTGATATTATATCTTTAAAAATTCAAAATGGCGGATCAAATATGGCGTCCTGAACAATAGACGTTTTTTAACGCAATGCATTACCTTTGAATTTTGAAAATTTAATTTCAATTTCGTAATGAAAGATAACGAGGATCTCTGAATATCAAGCTTCTTAACAAACTATAATTAAAAAAAGTGGTCCACCATATTGGATTCGTCATTTCGATTTTTGAAAATTTAATATCAATTTGGAAACCAGTGGCGACGAAAATCTCTGGATACCAAGCTTCATAATAATCTATAAATTTTTTAAGATATCTTCCGCCATATTGTGTACGCCATTTTGAATTTTGAAGATTTGATATCAATTTCGAAATCATTGACAACCAAATTTCATTGAAATCTGTCAATTACATATGGAGTAAACATCTTTTTCCTCCTATATTCTCGATTCGTCCCAGTAAACGATTTAAGAAAGATGTGCTCTATTTAATGAAGGGGCAAAAGGGGGGACAAGTTCGTGATATTTTTACATTGGCAATTTTTTGGATTTTCGAACTGTTGACTCATTGGAACTTTTTTATAACGCTAACTAATATAAAAATTTCAAAATTTTTTTTTTCAATAAAAAAAGGCAATTTATAAAATAAAATTTACAAATAACTATATTATTAACAAAAATCGCAAAATAAAGTACATACCTCACGCTTCATTTTCCATGTTAACAAAACTATTATTATATTTTATCATCGCTTCGAACCAAAAATTATTTAATTCGACGCACGATAGGAAACCCAACTTAGCGCGTCTGCTAAAACTGCTGCGTTGCGTTAAAAGTCAAAATTTGTGTGTTACATTGTGGACTTGTGGTTTATAACGGGTATTAGAAATGTATGTGTGATAAGATTTAGAGACTTTTGTTTTTCTATTTTTGTCCTCGTAATTAGTCACTTTGTCCTTATGTGCGTCACTATCAAAATATTTGTATATATCTAAAAAGTTTTTGGAGTACAAATTTTTCCCGCGCAACTCATTTGCTAATTTGTCTTTTAAAATACAGTCTAAAGCTTTCCGCGCACACAGCTGTCCTGGGAGACGAGCTGATCAGCAAGCTGATAGGCGATAAAACAACAAACATGGAGCATTCATTAAACAAAAAAAAAAGCTTAGGGGACGCACAGACAAAGCGCTTATGGCTGGGATGAGGGATGAACTTAAGTACTATAAGTAAACTGATAAGCACTAAATAAACAAGAAAGGGCTTAGCTAAGCGAATAATCTTGGCTTAGCTCTTTCTTGTGCGCACTTGCGTGTAAGCGGTGAGTTTATTGTTCAGATTGCCTATAAGTTCATCTCTCAGCTCAGCAAAAAACGGCTCTGTGTGCGAAAGTGTGACCAGGCTAGTCTTTTTGAAGCTAGATTTTGCAGTCATATATTTGCTCTAGACCCGGAATTTTTGTTCCAGCTTCGTGGATTTTTTTTAACGATACCCTTTTTTATAAGTAATTTTAATCTTTGTAGTGTTGCGGAGAACTATCCACATATATTTAATGCTCTTTTTCTTTTCGGTAATTCAAGTAGCCTAAATGCAAGATTAATTAAATTGCAATGGTAAATCTTTAAAGCAAAGCATAATTATTTCTGTATTTATTAGGAGATCTTCCAATAGGCTGCTCCAGGAAAGGGAGTGTTTTTAAAGCAACGGATGTCAAATAAGGGAATGAATTGGTATAGGCGTGTATAATTTTAAAAATAAGTTTTTTTTTTTGTAAATTTTCTCCTTCTAAGAGAAGCCGAATCAGAAGGCCTGAAACTCTGGCATTTCCATAAAATAAAAGGACTCGTCTCATTAGAGTACTGAAGGCCGATCAATATAAGAGATCAGAAAAAGGCACCTTTTTTGGTTTTTCCAACTGGGTAATTTTGAGCGAAACAATTTAAAATTAAAATTAAATTTTCAGCATAAAAGTTCTGACTTAGCTCAATTTTTAGTGATCATTTGGTCACACTAGCGCTTATAATCCTGCTGATCAAATCATCTTCCAGCTCAACTGTAAGCGCGCGCGGGGTATAAATTTTTTAGTGGTTTTCTAAGAAAAAGTGCTTTTGATTGATAAAATTACTAAATTTAGCTTATTTCTAAAATTCACTACTTAAATATCAGGATAATGATATTCTCTCAAGATGCCGGCAGTCAAAATCCACACCGAACCATTTTTAGCAGTTTTAATGGCAGTTACTAAATTGTAGGCACAATTTTCCGGACTTTGATTGTTGCACAGGGTTTTAGGCAGTGGTGGCATGCGCTCAAACGTGGTCACCGCCTCCATGCGTAGAGATGCGATCATTGCGGTTTCCGTAGTGCTCGGACAAATTGTGATAAAACCAACTTTTGTTTGACTATAATAATATGGATCCTGCGAAAATATATTTAATAAAGTAAGCAAGTTTTCAATACATATGTATATAATTCAAACATACATTCATATGTACATTTGTATTTAAAAATATGTACATATGTCACAACTTACTGCGAGCGCTCTAGTAAAACCATTGACACCATATTTTGACGCTGTATAAACAGCATAAGCACCATAAGCATCCAAGCCGACTATTGAGGAAATATTCACAATCAGGCCGCCATGACCACCTTTCGATTTGTCCATCAGACGCAAAGCCGCAAAAGTGCTGTAAATGACACCGAACTGGAAATATGTATATATATTAGAGCGGGTCACAAAAAAAAAAAATAGTTCAATTCGTTCCGAGCGATTTTGAACTCCCACTATGAGAGTATTTAAGGAGTTTAAAAAATGTTTTTTAGACACCCTGTGAAAACAGTTGAATCGATTTTTTTTCTTTTACTTACATATTTATTTGCTGACCCCTTTTTTCCCTAGAGGATATACATGGTGAAGAGCGCCTTGGTTATATATTTACCAAGCTTAATGCTTGAAAAACATTGAAATAGACGCACAGTGGGAAAGTTTCGACTTATTTTTTAAATTATTTTTAGCGAATTGAATATTTTTTTCACTACTTGGAGCGGATTTTAGAAAAGATTTTCTAGACCTGAATTAAAAAAAACTTGCATGCTTATCAGCGAATAGTGAGTGTTAAAAAAGGTTTGTTCGGTATATCATTTTTTTTTTTTGGATAGCAGCCGCCATATTGGTTTGGCCATTTTGAATTTCGCCATTGTGCCATCAGAATAGTATTCAGTGACCCAAAAACCCGTACCCTTTCCAGAAAATTGGATAAGATACGAGTTATTATTAGCAGCCGTTTTATTGTGTCGGCCATTTTGAATTTCACGATTCTAGTAAAATCGAATTCAACGATCTTAAAATTTAAAAAACATTCTTATTACCTTTGAAATCTGAAATTTGTAACCAATAAAATATTACAAATATTTACATATGTAGTTTGATTTTTTTAAGTTTATAGACATTCACTATATGCTGTTAAAAATAAATTTTCTTTAATTCAAGCTTATATAATATTTTCTAAAATTTCTTCCAAGTTAAAAAAAAAAATAATTAAACTCGCTAAAAAATGTACTCATCCAGTAATTTTTGAACAAAATCAGTCGAAAATTTCCCACTGTGCGATGGAATACAGCTGTAAATTGTTTATCATCATTATCTTAAATGCTTTGCCGATGGCGACATAATGAATTTGTATGAGTTTGACAGATGAAAAAGAAGAGGAAGAACCTTATCTGTCGCTCGAAAAATTGAAATAGATCTAACCTGGCCACAACCACTGTAGCGGTGTAGATCTGTTGCCACCAAAATAATTTAGGGGATTCCCATAAACTCGTAAAGTCTTGAACTATGTAAAACTCGTAAATTTACGAGACTTTTATGGGATTTGTTTTCAATAATATACAATATATTTTATTTAACAATTTTTATTGAGCTTGAGGCCGTTTTTAATGAAAAACTTATTGTGGAAAAGCAACAATAATTTGAAAAAAATGGTAGAAGTATAAAATTTTCCGCCCCTCGGCAACATTGAAGTTTACGAGGTCATTTTCGCATCAAATTTGCCTCGTAATTTTACGAGGTGCTCGTAAATACAAATTTTGACAGTTCTCCATACAAATTTTGACAGTTCTTTTACGAGGTTCGTAAATTTACGAGCTTTACGAGGTTTACGAGGCTTTTGAGAGTTTAAGGGAAGACCCCTATTATCTATATAAGAGTACATGTTAAAATAATTTGACAGATGTAACCCGTCGCCCATCGTTTTCAATGTTTTTAAGCATACTTATAAGCCGAGAGCGATACAGCCAACTCGAATACCGAAAATATTTACAAAATTACTAGTAAATAGTTAGCTGATGTTTTATGAAAAAGAGTTGATAGTTTTCTTTAAAAAGGGTTCTAATTTGACATGAAGAATATTTCTCTGACACATAATATTGCGTACGGGGGTTTAATTTTTATAAAAATTACCATAACTTTCAAAGTTTATGAGACATGACAAGCTCTACATATGTATACAACTCTAGGCTTTCTTAAAAACTTCATCATTCATCATTTACAGACATCGGACATCAATTAAACAATTTATATTAAAAAAAATTGATTTAGTTGCTTTTACAGGGTGCCGAAAAAATTATAGTATTTACTTTCCTGGAATACTCTCCTAGTTAGTGTTCAAAATCGCTTGAAATTTTTTCGGCCCATATGTACATCGTGATACGGCCTAATGTATTTACAAATAAATATATGTAAATATTAACGTTTATTAGTGAGTATGTAACAATTTGCACGTAAACACGATTAGATGCATACGCTGTGTAACAACAAAGAAGAAATAAATAAATATGCTTCTTGCCTGCATATCTACACCCACTCTTTTTTAAATATTCACAATGCTTTGCAAGCTAAATTTTTTTGTTATTTATTTACAAAAATATGGTTCATGCTATAAACAAAACCATATAAATAAAATTTTCAAACTTTATACAAAATTAAGGAAAGTTCAACCAATTTTCATAAAAATTTTAAACTTTTTAATCAGAATTAAAAAAAATCTGGTATGCCGATTTATAGTACAGCTTGAAATGGCTAAGAATTCGCATTAATTTTTAATAATATTTTTGCTGACTGTCTTATGCATTTTTCTTCATACAAAGTTTAAGCGAATTTTTTTGCTTGCAAAATATTGCGAATATTTAAAAAAATAATAGATGCACGCAGATATAAGTACGTGTGCAGGCAAGTGTGCATTAGGGTGGTCAGAAAATGCATGTGACAAATATAAATAGGAATTTTAATGCTATCACCCCCTAGTATTGTTCTATATCGTAAAAATATACACCTGTTATTTTTATTTCGAAATCGAATAATATTTAGAGGACGCGCAAAGTGCTCAAAGCTTTTCAGAATTTTTGAAAATCAATATTTTTCAATCGGAAAACTATGTTTATCTTCAGGAGGCTTTCAGTAATAATAGTAAAATATTTATTTTACCATTTTTTGATGCTAGCGATTTTTTATGTCCCCACCATTGCACTTTTTGGGGATTTTAGGCGACCTATAAAAATATTTAATATTAAAAAATGGTCAAATAATCCACTGGGTAATATTACTGAAAGTCTCCCGGAGAGAAACAAAGTTTTCCGATCGAAAAATATTGATTTTCATTAGGAATGTGCGATTAATCAATTAATTAATCGAAATCTGATTAGTTCATTAATCAAAAGATAATAATAATTAATCAAAGAATAATTAATCAAAAAACTGATTACTCAGCAACCTGAATAATTGTTGCTTTATTGTGTTTTTTGTTTGTGTTTGGCATTACATTTTTGTTAAGAAGAAAATTATCGTGTTATATTAGTACAAAAAAAAATTTAATTTGCTGTGAAAGGAAACTCGAAAAAAATGAGCAGAGTTACTCAGATTTCAAATAATTTTTTATACAGTAATTAACTACTTACGATCTCATTAATCAGTGTCGGATTAAACACATTTTTTATTAATCAGAATTATGATTAATTAGTAAATTATTTAGTCGATTAATCGCATATCCGTAGCTTTCATGAATTTAAGAAAAATTGTTTTTCTCCCCATAAAAAATATGTACATGGAAAACTTTAAGCGCTTTGAGCGACCTCTATATATTTTTTGGTTTAAAAATAAAAAAAAGAGGGCCAACATTTTTTTTTGGTGTAGAACAATCTCTTTCCCGAGAGCATTAGAATTCCGACTTTACTTATTTCAGACCATCCTAATGTACATATGTACATAAGAATGCAATTCAACTGCCATCATTCTGGTTATATTTCTACAGCAAAAAAAAAAGAAAAGCTCACCAAATTAATTTGTATTGTGCGTTCAATTTCATGATCATTCATTATCCCGCTACCGTTTACCACAATATCAAATCGGCCCATAGTGTCATGCGCTTCTGTAAAGGCACTTTCGATATTCTCCACATCTGTCAAGTCCAGCTTGATGTAGAATACATTGGCAGCTTTGTTGATGGCTTGTAATGTCTCAAGCATTTCAGGATCCTCAACCACATCTAAAATTGCCAAATTCTAATTGGAATGTTATTACATATATTCTTCTTTACTTATTAGGAGAGATCTCACTTAATTTGTTATGTGAATGAGAATGTTCAGTACTCACAGCCACCCCTTGTTCCAGCAGGCATTTGCAACTACAGTAGCCAATACCACCAAAGCCACCAACATAAATAACATTTTTATTTTTCAAATCCATATTGCTGTGATTTGCTGATTTTATTTGAAGTTTTTTTTTTTGTTTTTTGGCCGAACGGCGATCGCGTGTTTAATTACTGATCGCCAATTTCGCTTGCCGGTTGTCGCTCACTCTACTTCTAATTTGGAAGTGATACGCTGGGGTGCGCGTGTTCATACGAAAGTAGGGGCAGCAGTAGTACTTTGCAAATAGGAACAGTCAAACTTTGATATATTTATCAATTGATATGTACAAAAAAAAAAAGAACACAGATTACAACAAATACATACTTACATATACATATATATTTGAGAAATTTTGTAATTTCTATTAAGCCCTGTTTCAACTCTTTTTTCACGCATATACTACATATCAAATATGTAAAAAATAAAGTACTCTTTAGCAATAGCCGGAAAGCTTTGTCGGACTCTCGCCAGCCATTTATTGCACAATATTTCTCTTTTGATTCTTTCTGTGGCTTCCTTGTCTTGCTTTTACTTACATACTTATTATACTTAGTTGCTTCATTGTTTTCAATTATCAAATTTGGTTTTGTGCGTCAAATTCGTAACCAATAATGAAATGAACAACAAGTGTTCCGTTCGCGCTCAATTGAGCTGGGTTCTGAGCACAGTTTGCTGTGTATTCTTGGATTTTCTTTTATACATACCTACTCTATACTTATAAATAACTATATGTGTATGTATATATGTGATACTTAAGCTGAAACTTAGCTGGGGATGTGTTGTACGTCTAGTAAAAAATCTTTTGTCAAAACAAATTTCGCCAAAAAGCACAGTGCGAAAAAGAAAACTGTTATGTTCGTATCTGATGCACTTATCTGTTAAAAGCTTGTTTGTTAAAAAAAAGCCTTTAAAGTGTTATATAACAATCTATTGTTAGACTTAGATTGTTGGGAGTTTTCAACGGATGGCCAAAAAAAAAAACTATTTTTCTTAATTTTTCAACTTTGACCATCGCTAACTTCAAAAAATTCTATGCAAGTGGCTTTATAAAATGGAACATTGAAATTACATTTCGTTTTAATATACATAATTCAGTTTAATTTTTTTTAGTAAATTGATTTGTTAATCTTTCCGAGCATTTGACGCGATAATTCAAATTTAGCTTTTCCAAAAGCATTTTTTAAGAAATTTTCAGTTGTTAAAATAGCAGAGAGTGCTGGAATTTTTAGTTTATTTCTTGTTTTATTCAAATTGATTTGGGAAAATGTTCTTTCCTCTTTGCTATGGCGACTGGAATGCAAACGAGAGCTGAACCCCTTAGTTTGAAATGAGGAAACGCTGCTCTTTCATCCGACCGAAATAGAAATTTCAATTTATACACTCAATCTGGAAAAACTGTAGTTTATACTAGCAGGGAATTTAAACAACTGTAAGCTTGTTTAAAAAGCTATAGTTTACACTATAAATTGGTTTTTTATAAAATTTTGGAAAAAAGTTTATTGACCTCAAATAGTACTAGTACTAGCATAGTATGCACCAGTAAGAGGGCCTTATGAATAAAAAGTAAGCAATTGCTTTTTCTTAAAATTTCAGACCTTTTACTCGATTTATTCAAAGAAATTTAAGTAAAAGGTCGGAAAATAAAAAAAACGCAATTGCTTAGTTTCTATTCATAAGGCCCAGTATTTCGATTAGAAAGGTTGTCCCCCTTTTGTTATTTTCCATCATACCTTCGGCATCTACAGTCGGATCTTAAATGCTGATATATCGATGGTTTTGTCTAGAAGAGAAAAGAATTTTTTGTGTGCCAAAGCTCATTGACGCTCATACCCCGTTCTAGTACTTACCGTCTAGATCTCAGTTTTCATCACCCTAATATCAGTAAATCAAAGCTTACAAAAAATTATTAAACTTTTGCAAATAAAGTATTTTAATTATTTCAGAAGAATTATTTTAAAAAGTTTTTTTTTATTACCGAATGCAGGTGTCACTAGGGATGAAAAAAAAACAAAATAATCGATTAAATAATCATATGATTAATCACAAGCCAAAAAAAATTAATTGCACGTAATAAGAAATAATCGATTGTTCACAAAAACCTTTTCCATAAAAAATTTCTAATTCTCTTGTTAATTAGCCTTAAATAAAATAGTACCAGTATTTTTAGAGGCGATAATTAATTAATATTTAACAAAGTTTGAAAAAACAAAAGTTTTGATATGCGGTTGCGTTTCTCGGTGGCTTTAGCACCAGTTTTTGAAAAAAATCCGCTCAGCTGGCACTAGGGCTTTCAACATTTTCTAAGGTATTTATAGTACACTTAAAAAAAAAAAATTGAAAAAATATAGTACACTTCAAATAAATATATGTAGTATTTTATTTAAACGAAAAAATAAAAACGCTTTTCAAGTACTATATATTAGGGCGGAGTAATTTGTTCGGAGCAAAGTTTACAAAGAAAGCGTACAGCAAATTCCAATTCAACGGTTAGTTCTCAGCAAAAATGGCGAACGAAAAAAATACCAAAAATTACGTTTGACCCTCCCAATTTTCAAACGAAATAGCAGTATATTGTAAGATAAAACACACAAACTTTTGTGAATGGAAAATTAATTTCGTTCAGAAAAAATTGTAACACACTGATGTGTCTTTTAAAAATTGGGAGGGTCAAACCTCATTTCTGATGTACGTAAATGTAGTTTGTTCACCATTTTTGCTAGGAATCGAACGTACACTTTTTTCGAAATTAAATTACTCCACCCTAGAATACATACATATCATTTCTTTTATAAAAAAAAGTATATCTTTGCACTCTTGGCAGTTTTTAAAAGAATTGTTAACTATGAAAGTATCATATCTATCGTCAATGTTTTTGAAAGCCCGCAAATCGACCAGTTGCAAAACCACCTAAATCGCCGTTGTGGCTAAAATGAGATTTGGTAACCCTGAACTCCAGGCATCGATATTTATGCATAAAAATCGTAAAATCGTTATTAAAACAACAGATTTGTAAAATAATAGCTAGTGAAAATTTCGCCTCTAAAAGCAATGCCTACAAAGAAAAACTGTTGTTGTTCACGCTCTGGTTAAAAATAATTATGCTGTCTAACGTAAAACGCAGAAACTTTCACCTCCTCCCTCTAGAAAAATAATGGACTAAATCGAAAAAAAAAATTTTGTAAAAAATTGGTACTCATACTAATGCTCCAAGTTTAAACAGAATAGGAGCAAACAATTTTTTACTTTGATCACTTCACGTGGAATCGCTTAAATGTAAAAGGAAAGCTTTTGGGTTCAGGTTTAACAGTATTGTGTTTATTGTGGTTTAACTATTATAAATACATATGTGTGTACGAATGTATCCATTTACATATATACAGTTTTATAAACATTCTTATTGTGTATACTGTGGTTAGAAGATCATATCGTTACCGAAACCGGTAGACAATTTTGTAATTTTGTAAACTTAAACTTTAAGCTAGGTATGCTAAATTAAGTTTTGTAACAAAACCAACTTGACATAATTTCAGAAAGACATAATGCGGTTGGCATGTACATTTATGCCTATCTACTACTACTACAATGTACAAATATGTATGTATTAGGATGTACCAGAAAGTAAAGAGATTTTTCTTGCGAAATTCTATGCGCGTAGGTGACATTTACATTAGACTGTGTCAAATAAAATTAATGGTTATTTTTCGGTTCCATACGAAAATTTCGTTGTCGGCCACAACAAGTAATTGTGGCAAAATTTCAGTCCACTATCTTCTGCTAACGTTCGAAAAAATAAGAATTTTTCTTGGACGCAATTTTTTTGCGCTACTTTTTTGTTTAAATAGTTGAACATAACAAATATAAAAACAACCCCATAGGCCATTAAGTTTAGTAAAATAAGTTCAAGTTTGAAGTTGATTTTTGGCATTTTAATTTTGTTTTCTTCCATACAAAGTGCGTCTATTTGTTTTTTACTCTTTATTAAAAAAAAGTATCGTGAAAAAATATGTTTCATTAAAAATTCTCATTTTTGCTAGCGTTAAAGAAACAGAGAAATTTCGCCACAATTTTTTTTTTTGTGATGGACAACGAATTTTTCATATGGGATCGAAATACAAAAAATTATTTTATTTGACAAAGTCTAATTTACATTTTCTACTTAAAAAATACATTTTAAAGTTATATTGCTGAAATTCGCTTGCAAATGAAAGAGTTATGAAGAGAACTCGCTATTGATAGTTTTAAGGCGAAAATGTTTGTGACGCCCAAATAATCTCGTGGCAAGCTTTCAAATTTGGTGTGATAGTTATAATTGATTTTTTTTGTGGGCTAGAATGTATTTAGTGTTCTGATAATATTTACCTTTATTCTAACTATTATATACCTAAATGTTGAGATTAGTGGGCAATGTTTCCCATAATTTAATAAAATGTAAGGTACCCTATCATAAAGTGAGGGGTAAGGTACAAATCATTAACTGGGTAAGTCAGTCGAGTTAAATTTCTATAAAGTTCTTAAAAGCAATGTGAAGGTTCTAGCGTATTCTACTGTAGACTTTTCTGTATTGTAATGATTTTTTATCGGTTTCTATTTTAAGTAACTTGCCTTCGTGTTTGTAATTTTCATAAACAATTATAATTACATTGGAGTGTACATTAGGGTAGTCCAAAAATGAATGTGAAAAAGTAAAGTCGGCCTAGGATTTTTCTATACCGAAAAAATATTCCACTATTTTTTTNAAAAGTAAAGTCGGCCTAGGATTTTTCTATACCGAAAAAATATTCCACTAATAACCTCTAAATTTTGGTTATTTTGAAATAACCAAAATTTAGAGGTCACTCAAAGCACTCAAAGTTTTCCATGTATTTTATATGGGGAAAAACAACTTTTCGTAGAAATGGTATAGAATTCATGAAAGTCAATATTTTTCGATAGGAAAAATCTGTAATAATACCTACCCGTTTATTTAACGATTTTTTCATAATAAATATATGTATTTTACAGGTCCGCCAAAAATCCCCGAAAATGCAATGGGTAGACTTTTTTTACTTGTTTTTAATTAAGTTTGCAGAAATGTTGTTTTAAAAATTCATAACGAAATCTTTTATTGATTCGACAATGTGGAAGTTCTTACTAAAAACTTTAAAGTCGTTCCTCTCGCATTTTCGATTTTTTGAGATATGACGTTCTTTTTTGAATCGAACAATATCGAGCCCTAGCCGCCAAAAAGACGTAAGCGACTTTTTTCCAAACTTTTATTTTTGATGCAGAAATGCATCTAAATGTTCTAGGAATATCTTTGCACCAAAAAGTAAATTTTGAAAAAATTTCGCTTACGTATTTTTGGTGCGATATATTTATGAATAATTACGTATGAATGAGCAGCGATACTGCTAAAAATAATTTACATACACACAGTGCCGGCCACTGGAATAGCGCCTTCTTTTGCTCTGCAGTATTGACAGTTTTTCTTTTGTTTATTTAATATCAGTTACTTTTCTATAAAAAAAGGCTATTTTATAATAAAAAGCATGTAAATTCGATTTGAAAATTCTATACACATTTTACAATAATTCAACAAATTTTCAGCAAAATTTAAAATTTTAGTATGCAAGTTTAGTATAATAAAGTGCAAATTTTTTTGCGTAGGGTGTTGAGCATTTTCTTTCATAATAAAAAATAGGCGAACAGACTTGGAAGAAAATGCGTAACATCTTCAACAAAAAAAAAAATAAAAAATGTTAATAATCAACGCGACATTTTATAGCCTTTAAAACTACAATTTATTATAATAAAATTTAATATGAACTGCACACTCCAAATTCTAAAATTTGGAAAAGCTTGAAATTTTGATGAAAATTTGTTGAATTATTATAAATTCTATATAAAGTTTGCAAATCGGATTTGCATAGTTTTTATTATTGAACATGCTATATTAAAAAAAAAACGAATGAATATTAAAACAATACGCAAAAGAAAAATAGGCTAAGGCTGAAGACCGAAAGAGGGCGCTACTCGAGTGGCCGGCACTGTATATGTTAACTTTACTGATAAGACAACAAATCGTTTTGACCTACATAAACAAAGTTTTTATTGTCTCATTTACAATAAAAAGCAATGGGAAAACCTTCACTACATATGTATTTATGCATATAATTTTACTTATAAACTGTTGTTTATTTTTTAAGAGGGGCGCGCGCTTACTTATCAACTACTAGATATAGTGCTTGCTATGCGACACCCATATATTGACAGGTTTTGCCTATTTATTTTTTTTACAGCAATTAATTTTATTTATTTTTTATGTTTATAAAAATATAGTTCATTACATAACGAAAACCATATAAATCCAACTTTTGAACTTTGTAAAAAAATAAAAAAACAAATTTAAAAGTCATAATTTTTACTTGGAATTTTTAGAAAAATTTTGGGAATGCAGTTTTATAGCCCAGTTTATTAAAAAAACAATTGGCGAAAATTGCACTGCACTATGCTGAAATTGAAATTTTGATAAAACTTCGTAGATTTTTTTACTTTTTTTTAAAAAGTTAGATAGGTACTTGGATTTATACAAAATGAACTATATTTTAAATTAAGCAATTTAAACTAGTCAAATTTGTTGATGTCGTATAGTTACGATAAGCACTATATGTATATTAATTTATGCACCGCTTTCTAATTTAAATAATTTCCACGTTTGAAATTAAACTTTCATCTCATGACTTAAAAACTGGTTCCCACATAACTGGGAATGTAATTTCTTTGATTTCGCCCAAGTCAAGCATATAAACGCCACCATTTTTACCAGTCTCAGCAACCTTTACTAAATTTTTAGCACAAATTTCAGGACTTTGACGTCCGGCTTCATCTAAACGAGCAGCTAAGCCAGCCGCAAATTTAAATGTGGACTTTGTGTGTGGATTCGCCACAAGCGCGGTCTCTGTAATGCCAGGACAAATAGTGATAAAAGTTACGCCGTGATGTTTGAAATAGAAGGGATTCTGAAAAGAAAAAGAAAAAACCAAATATTTTTGAGAACAAGTTACCTTATAGGGTGTTTACACGCGGCGATTTTAAGGGCAACTTTTAGTTGAAAGCAATAATCGGCTAGTCTGAACGGCCTTACAACTAATCGCTTAAAAGGAAGTGGGGGGGCAGCCAACTTTTAATTCAAAATCGCCTCTAAAATTGCCTCATGTAAACACCGTATTAAAAAGCTCACCGCCATGCAACGTGTAAATGCCGTAACACCGTGCTTTGCTGCTGAATAAACAGATACAGCTGCTGTTGGTTCCAAGCCAGCTACCGATGAGATGTTGATTATAATGCCGCCACGTCCACCAGTTGATTTATCCATATAGGGCAGAGCAGCAAAAGTGCTGTGTATCAGACCCATCTGTTGAATAAATGAGGCATATTGAATAAATGGTACACACATACACATGTCTTGCGTAATTTATGAGTTTTTGTTTTACCAAATTAATATCAATCATTAGTTCAACTTGATTATCATCCATTAGCCCACAACCATTGACAAGCAAATCAAAGTGACCCATTTTCTCGACAGCTATTTTGAAAGCTGCTGTAATGCTATCCTTTTTAGTGATATCGAATTGCACAAAGAAAATATTGGCATCGGGATATGCATTTTGTAAGGTTTGCAGCAGCGTTGCATTCTCTTGCAAATCGAAAATGGCTAAGTTCTATTAAAAGAAAAATATATATTTTAAATAATAATCAACACATTTAGTGCATACAGAAATTACATACGTACATGCAGCAACACAATATACGTATTTATGTATTAGGGTGATTGACTCGGTTTTTCTAAACCGGTTTCTACCGGTATTTTTTGTATATCTACAGGCGGTTTTTTGAAATCTTGATTTTTCGAATATCGAATAAATCGGATTTTTTATTAAACAAACTGATTTTTTCATTTCATACAAATTTTGTACTCTCAAATCAAGTTTGGAATTTTTCAATGTTTTCAAGGCCTTTTCAAGTTTAAGAATTATATCCTACATACAGTCAGTCAATAAAGTTTAGGTACAGCGAATTTTTTACAATACGGGCAACTATTTTTTAAATATTTTATTTTTCGCTAATTTTTTATAAAAATTTACCATAAACTGCATACTCAAATTTTTTCTAGAGAACGTAAATAAAAAGTGCAATATTTGAACGAAATTTTGCAGAATTTTCTTTAATTTTGCACAAGGTTTGGAACTTTTCTTTTTGGGGTTTTTGTTGTAGAATTGACCATATTTTTATAAAAAATTGCCGAAAAATAAAATATTTAAAAAATAGTTGCCCATATTGTAAAAAATTCGCTGTACCTAAACTTTATTGACTGACTGTATGTATATGGTACACATACATTTGAAATATGGGATTCAATATATGAATGTTTGTCGCTTAGCCGTTTTCTACGTGTTTAACCGAGCTTCTCCTACAATTCGTGTTCTGCTTTCTTGATGTTGTGACCAGTGTCGCCAGGTTGTACATTTGGTTGTAATTTTGAAGATTTTTTTACTGCCATGACGATTTGACGATTTTTGTGACCCAATGACAAACTTTCTTTATAGGCAAATTTGGCTGTTTCTCAACTTTGAAGATAGATAGACAGCCAACTAAAAATTGCAGTGCAAACACCTATTAAGAGTTTACCAATTCTGCTAATACATAACTGGCGTATCGAAATTATATCATATTGCAGCACTAATAGCAGTTATCGATAAGTAGTTTTCTTCATTATGTGTGTAGTTTTTGGCGGTCAACTGAGTACTGGTACATATTTTATTAAGCGAAGAGAATTATGGATAACTTCTTTAGCAAAACTTGTAAGTAAGTTTGAAAAAAAGATGAAAATGTGATTTTATTGCAATTAAAAATATTTTTAATAAAAGTAACGCGAATTTTAAAAATTCGTAAAAAAGTTAAACTTTTTATTTTTTTACGTACATCTCTCAAAAGTCGGATTAAAATCCAAAAGAGCTTTCTGGTTGTGTTTATTAAAATTTTTTATATGACGATACACGCAAATGACGATTTTTGAGAGCCAAACTGACGATTTCGCACTTCAATGACCTGGCAACACTGGTTGTGACACAAATAGGGAGATCTACACTTTTACTCCATCTTCGAAGAAGCTTTTTCATGGAAGTACACTCGGAGGTTTGCCATTGTCTGGCGAGGGGCGAACGCTATTTAAAAAAAAAAAACATTTTTCCGGAGTGGCAGTAGGCACCTCCAACTCAAATATGAAAAAAGTCAAAAAAAAAGCAACAACGAATTTAATAAAGTTAAAATGAGACCCAACTTGAATTTTTCACTGATTTTTATTTGTTTTACTATTGATCTAAAAAAACTTTGCACTCATTTTGCTTTGCTATTTACTAAATCAAAGCTATCTTAACGGTTTATAGTTTTATTGTAATTTTGGGCTCTGACTTCATAAGCATTTTCACTGTATTAATTCGAAAATCGGGAACCTGTTTTTTTTTCAAATTGCAATTTTTATAATAACTAGAAAACTGGTTTTTGAGGAAAGGCGAATAATCAACCACCTTAATATGTATACAAATACAATTTGAACATGAAAAAAATTATTCACACTTAAAAACCCGTAATTGTCACCTTCACTCCTTTGGCTAGAAATTCCTGCAGACAACGCTGTCCAATGCCGCCAAAGCCACCTTCGTAAATTACATTCTTGCCACTTAAGTCCATGTTGTTATTAATATAAAAGTGTTATTTTTTAATTAGAACAGTTTTTAGTATGAAATTTGCTTGTTGTTGTTATTTTTTTCCCTGCTCAACGGTCCGTTAGCGTCTACTTAGTATATATGTCTGTTAAGTTCGGTTTCAAC